TGAGAAATGAATTGTTGTTGTTTATAAGCCACCCAGTGTATGGTATTTTGTTATAGCAGCCCAAATGAACTGAGACAGCAGCCATACAAATTCATTTACAGAAAAATAGGACTGACTATCTGGTTCAGAAATGGAATGCTACAGAAAAATAGGGTTTGGAAATTAGACTGGGTCTGGGTCCTATATCTTGGTCCCAGAACTGCCATAACAAAGTACAACAGACTGGGCAGTGTGAAACAACATAAACTTATTCTCCCACAGTTCTGGAGTCTAGAAGCCCAAGGTCCAGGTGTTGGCAGGGCCACACTTCCTCTGAGGCTCTGGTTAGAATCTTTTTTTGCCTCTTCTAGCTTCTGACGGTGGCCGTCAATCCTTTGCATTTCTAGACCAGAAGACATGTGACTTGAATCTCTGCCTCCATTGTCACAACCTGGCCTTCTCCCTGTATGCATCTGTCTTCACACTGTGTTTTCCCTCTTTAAAAAAAATTAGTTTTTGTTATTATGGGTACATAATAATTATATATCTTTACAGGGTACATGTGATGTTTTGATACAGGCATACAATGTGTATTAATCAAATCAGGGTAACTGGGGTATCCATACCTAAACCACTTATCATTTCTTTGCATTAGGAACATTCCAATTCCACTTTTTTGGTTATTTTAAAATATACCCTAACTTATTGTTGATCATAGGCATTTTGTTTTACTATCAAATATTGTCTGTTCTGTCTAACTATCTAACTGTATTTTTTCACCCATTAACCATCCCCACGTTATCCTGCCCTCTGAACTATCCTTCCCAGCCTCTGGTAACAGTCATTCTACTCTCTATCCCCATGAGATCAATAGTTTTAATATTTATCTCCCACATATGAGTGAGAACATGCAAATTTGCCTTTCTGTGCTTGGCTTATTTCACTTAACATAATGTTCTTCAGTTCAGTCCATGTTGTTGCAAATGGCAGGATTTTATTTTTTACGGCTATATAATATTTCATTGTGTATATATACCACAATTTCTTTATCCATTCATCCGTTAATGGACACTTAGGTTAAATCTAAAGTTTGGTTATTGTGAATAGTGCTGCAATAAATGTGAGAGTACAGATATCTTTTCTGTATCTGATTTCCTTTCTTTTAGACATATACCCAGCAGTGGGATTGCTGGGTCATATGGTAATTCTATGTTTAGTTTTTTGAGGAACCTCCCTCCGTTCTCCACAGCGGTTGCACTAATTTACATTCCCACCAACAGTGTATGAGGGCTCCCCTTTCTCCACTTCCTTGTCAGCATTCATTATTGCTTGTCTTTTCCATAAAAGCCACTTTAACTGTGTATTTTCCTTTTCTTACAAAGATACTGGTCATTCCAGATTAGGACCCACCCTAACGGCCTTGTCTTAACTTAATTAGATCTGCAAAGATTATTCCAAATAAGGTCACATTGATGGGTGCTGGGGGTTAGGATTTGACATATCTTTTGGGGGACACACTTCGACCCTTAACACACTCTGTCACTTAACGTGTTTCTAATTTCCATTTTGTTAAACTGGGGGCAATAATGCTGACCTCACAAAGCTGCTGTGAAAGGAAGCGAGACAGCAGATGTAAACCACTGCATTGAGTGGCCGATATTCACCTTCCACTACCCCTCCCCACATAGGAAGGAATGTTCTGCCCTCCGCCTTCTCCCCCTTTTCTCTACCTTCGCTGCTACATGAGGCCTAGAGGACAGTTTGATAATCCGTATCTCAGAGTTATATTGTGGACACACCTCGTTTTAGTTGTGGATCTGTTTATCTAAGTATCTACTTGGGATCTCCCTTTGAATGAGCCCAAGGCCTTTAAACTCAATATAACCCAAATCAAATTCATGGACTTTCTTGCCAAACCTTGATCCCTTCCAAACACAACACTCATGCTCTTAGAACTCACGTTGTAACTCAAGGATGCAATGAGAGTTATTTGGGTACTTCCGTTCCTCTTACTTTCCACACCCAGTCCGTTATGAAGTCCTGTCAACTTTGCCTCCCAAACGCCTCTCAGACCTTGCCTTTATATCCCTCTCCCTGCAAATGTTCTGGTCCAAGTGGCCTTCATTTCTCACGAGGCTGCTGCCTCCCAGGTTTTCTCCCTGTGTACCTGTGGCAGACAAAATAATGACACCCCATCCCTGGAAGCTATAAATGTAGTAACTTCCATGGCCAAAGGGACTTTGTGGATGTCATTAAGTTAAGGATCTGGAGATGGGGAGATACCCTGCATTCCCCAGGTGGACTCAGAGTAATCACACGGGTCCTTATCTGGGCATGAGCGAAGCTGTAAAGACACAGAGAGGGGATGTGTCAGAGGAAATAATGCCATTTCTGAGACTCAAATCTGATTATGTTATCTCCCAAGTCCCTGGGAACACCTCCAAATCATTCTAGTGATGTCTAATTCTTCTTAAAACCAAGACTCAGATAAAACTCCCTGACATATCCTCACATACCTGCCCACACTGGTCTCACAGCCTCCCACAGCACCAAACCCCGCTAGCTCTCCATGTCCTCAGCACCAGGATCTTCCAGTCCCTGGACCTCACTGCATTCCTTCCTGCCAGATGACATCTGCTCATGTCTTTCCTTGTCTTTGGAATGGCTGAGCAGCCCTATCACGACTTTTCTATAGTCCTCTCTTCATATCATGCACGTTCCCTTTTCAACCCTCGTCATCATTGGCATTGCTGTTCCACATTTCTTATTCTTTAATGTTTGTCTCTTTCTCTACCTGACTTTAAGTTTACTCCTCCATAAAGTCAGGGACAATACTTTTTCTCCTTATCCTCCCTTTACTTCGTCATGTTCCCAAACCCTGGCCTAGAGTGTGTATCACTGTGGGTGCTGAACCTTATGAGCTGAGTTGGTGCATGTACAGAACCCCAGTAATGGGCAGTCTCGAGCGTGTTTTATTGCTGCCTGTACTGCTGATAGCATTTGCAGCCTTGTGATGTCTTTGACTATATGAAAATTACTCTGAGCTGACAATGTTTCTACCCATCTGATACAGGATTAACTTGCATTATCATTTTATGTATTTAGGAAAGGTATTTCTTATGGAGTTATCATCATTTGCATGTAGGGACATTTTGAGGAGTTGAAGTCATAGGAAGTGCTGATGTTAGTGTTTCATTATGTTTTTTATCTGTAGCAATACATTCCCAATGTCATGTTCTAAACCTTTATGTCTCAGGAAAGCAAGTTAATATAGATAAATAAAGCATGAAAAATTAAAAAGAATGAAATCAATTTCTCATCAGACGTCAATAAGAGCATAAAGCAATCTTACCTTCTCCTTGCCCAAGTTCTGTCAGAAACCAAAGGGAATATCAACTATCCAGAAAGATTGAAGAAAAGGTTCCAAGTACATTTTTGGCTTAAAAAATAGGACATTATTTTAAATGCTCACAGCACTTACAATTCCTTAGAAACGTTCTGCCCCTTTTTATGTTATCGTGTGTGGGAGATGGCTTTCCCTCACAGGAATAAACTTGGTTCATGCCCTAGTATTAAGTGTTTCTTGTTCGGAGAACTGGGACCCACTAAAGCCTGCTGACCCTAACCACTCAGATTTTCCCTTTAGATGAGAATGGAGACAGGCTGGGAGGTTGAGGGTGTGTGTTCCAAAACTTGGCCTCCTCTAGGAGCAAGGCTTTCCTGGACGTCTGGCTATGGAGGGGGAGTTGTTGGTGTAGGGTGAGGTAACAGAAGTGATGGCTGCTCAACCAAAATCTCTGTAGTCCTGATCCAAAGTCTTCAAATTAAAGGGGACCAAAGAGAGAGGCTGTGATGACTCAGTCGAGATAGTCTAAGAAGAGGGACCATTCAAGGCAGCTGGGCAGAGGGAGGGGTAGGGGCTTGGGTTGTGTTGAGGGGAGGAGAGGCTTTGCTGCTTCATGACCTTCACATTATACAGAAGACAATTGCTGCACCCCACTGTTCAGCCAGACTATGGTCCCACCAGAACCTGCAGGGGTTCATTTAATTGAGTATGTTGTTATGGTAACAAAGGGCTTAGTTACAAATGGCCCACCCAGTGGGATGAAGTACGCTGTCTAAGCAGCATCCACCCTAATGCACAGGCTTGGGTACACAGACAAAGTGAGCTGCTTCACACACATCCCCAGGATGGGACAGCCTAGATTTGGGATCCGCTGAGGAAGAGCTTTCCACACTTGGGAATGAGAGAAAAGGGAAGAAGCCTTTCTTTGACATCAGGGCATAATGGACTGAGGACTGTTCCCTTTCCTTGCATGGGGCTTGAAGAATCCAGCAAGCTGTTGGCTTCTGAGTGAATTCCTCTGTGGTCCAGCAGAACGTGGCCAGTCTGGTCTGGCTCTGTTCTCTCAGACATTAACTCAGTCCAGTTTGGAATAGTTGCACATTTTCTGGTTCTATATCCTTTTTCCTTCTAGCCAAAGCCAGTTTTTACGTATCTAGGTTATGATACAAATGATCCATCACTAAACTAAAAGTGGCTTCATAATAAATGGCTGCATCAAACAATAAAGTATGAAATATTATAGATCAATTAAAAATTGATGATATAGCAGTGTATTTATTAATATGGAATAGTGTTTACAAAGTGAATAAACTGAGTCACATGATGGTATTTACATTGTAATTTTATTTTGGTAAAAAATCAGAAATCAAATTATAATGAAAATAAGTAGTATTTACTAGGTACTTGCTACGCATCAGGCAATGTTCTAAAGGGTTGATATATGTGTTTGTGGCACTCGGGATCCCTCATCATCTCTGCTCTTAAGAAACAGTGTAGTAACCAGTTCTGAGGCTTAATGGAAAAGGGGGAGATATTTTTTATTTTTTAAAATAATGCCAAGCAGGTTTATTTGTATGACAAAATGAGGACATGAGGATTAGGATAGGAGATAAAGTTGCATCAGTGTCCTGGTGCTGTGGGGTGGAGCCCAAGTGGTCCGTTGGCCAAGATGCCTGAGGAAACCCAGACCCAAGACCAACCGATGGAGGAGGAAGAGGATGAGGCATTTGCCTTTCAGGCAGAAATTGCCCAGCTGATGTCATTGATCATCAATACTTTCTATTCAAACAAAGAGATTTTTCTGAGAGAGCTCATTTCAAACTCATCAGATGGTTCGGACAAAATCAGATATGAAAGCTTGACAGATCCCAGTAAACTAGACTCTGGGAAAGAGTTGCACATTAATCTCATACCAAACAAACAAGATCCAACCCTCACTATTGTGGATACTGGAATTGGAATGATCAAGGCTGACTTGATCAATAACCTTGGTACTATCACCAAGTCTGGGACCAAAGCATTCACGGAAGCTTCGCAGGCTGGTGCAGACATATCTGTGATTGGCCAGTTCGGTGTTGGTTTTTATTCTGCGTATTTGGTTGCCGAGAAAGTAACTGTGATCACCAAACATGGTGATGAGCAGTATGCCAGGGAGTCCTCAGCAGGGGGATCTTTTGCAGTTAGAACTGACACAGGTGAACCTATGGGTTATGGAACAAAGGTTATCCTCCATTTGAAAGAAGACCAAACTGAGTGCTTGAAGGAAAGAAGAATAAAGGAGATCATGAAGATATATTCTCAGTTTATTGGCTATCCCATTACTCTGTTTGTGGAGAAGGAACATGATAAAGAAGTCAACGATGATGAGGCTGAAGAAAAGGAAGACAAGGAGGAGGAGAAAGAAAAAGAAGAAAAGGAATCTGATGACAAGCCCCAAATAGAAGATATTGGTTTTAATGAAGAGGAAGAAGAAAAGAAGAATGGTGACAAGAAGAAAAAGATAAAGGAAAACTACATTGATCAAGAAGAGCTCAACAAAACAATGCCTACGTGGACGAGAAATCCTGATGATATTACTAATGAAGAGTATGGAGAATTCTATAAGAGCTTGACCAATGACTGGGAAGATCATTTGGTGGTGAAGCACTTTTCAGTTGAAGGACAGTTGGAATTCAGAGCTCTTCTTTTTTTCCAAGATGTGCTCCTTTCGACATATTTGAAAACAGAAAGAAAAAGAACAACATTAAGTTGTATGTGCGCAGAGTTTTCATCATGGATATCTGTGAGGAGCTAATCCCTGAATACTTGAATTTCATTAGAGGAGTGGTGGATTCTGAGGACTTCCCTCTAAATATTTCCCATGAGATGTTGCTGCAAAGCAAAATTTTGAAAGTTATCACAAAGAATTTAGTCAAAAAGTGCTTAGAGCTCTTCAACGAATTGGCAGGAGATAAAGAGAACTACAAAAAGTTTTATGAGCAGTTCTCTAAAAACATAAAGCCTGGAATACAAAACAGGAAGAAGCTTTCAGAGCTACTGCGATACTATACATCTGCTTCTGGTGATGAGATGGTTTCTCTCAAGGACTACTGCACCAGAATGAAGGAAAAACCAGAAATATATCCACTGTATCACAGGTGAGGCCAAGGACCAGGTAGCTAACTCAGCCTTCATGGAACATCTTCAGAAGCATGGCTTAGAATTGATCTATATGATCGAGCCAATCGATGAGTACTGTGTCTAACAACCGAAGGAATTTGAGGGGAAAGCTTTAGTGTCAGTCACCAAAGAAGGCTTAGAACTTCCAGAAGATGAAGAAGAGAAAAAGAAACAGGAAGAGAAAAAAACAAAGTTCGAAAACCTCTGCAAAATCATGAAAGACATCTTGGAGAAAAAAGTTGAAAAGGTGCTTGTGTCAAACTGATTGGTGACATCCCCATGCTGTATTGTCACAAGCACATATGGCTGGACAGAAAACACGGAAAGAATTATGAAAGCTCAAGCCCTAAGAGACAGCTCGATAATGGGTTACATGGCAGCTAAGAAACACCTGGAGATAAACCCTGACCATTCCGTTATTGAGAACTTAAGGAAGAAGGCAGAGGCTGACAAGAATGACAAGTCTGTGAAGGATCTGGTCATCTTGCTTTACGAAACTGCACTCTTGTCTTCTGGCTTCAGTCTGGAAGATCCCCAGAAACATGCTAACAGGATCTGCAGGATGATCAAACTTGGTCTGGGTATTGATGAAGATGACCCTACTGCTGATGATACCAATGCTGCCGTAACTGAAGAGATGCCACCTTTTGAAGGAGATGATGACACATCACACGGGGAAGTAGACTAAGCTCTCCCTGAAGAATAACTTGTATACATGTTCAATACTTCATCCCCTCTGATAATATATTTTCAAGGATTTTTTTTCTTTATTTTTAACATTTAAAAAATCTGTATGACATGACAATAATTACTTTAAGGGGAAGATAAGATTTCTTTCTACTTCTAAGTGTGATACTGTGATACTTCAGGCACTAAAGAGGAGCTAGAAATGCTTTTCTGGTTTCACATTGGCTTATTTTAACAGGTCGAGATAAAAAAATGTTGTAAGATGTATTTAAACTCTGTTAACTTCATGGCATAGAGTGTTTAGCTATCAAGCTGGATTCCTTAGTAGACCAACTATTTTGTCACTGAGTATTGCAAGATGTATCTTGATGTTTAGAAGAAAAGTATTTGTTAAAATGACTTGAGTTCATCTTCTAGAATCCACTTTTTAAACTTTTCATCCCTAGTAGTTTCTGCATGTACTAAGTCCTCTAGAAATAAGTATGTTTAAAGTGAAGCAACTTGATGAAACTCTACACAGGGCTTGTTTTCCAAAGAAAAAGTATCGTTTAGAGGAGCAAAATTACAAGCCCCACCCCTACGTGTTGTAAAGCTGTTTTCAAAAGCGAGGCTTGTGAATGGGAATGTACTGCCCGAGTCACAATCCACTTAAAACTTGTAACAAATATAGGTGAGTTAAAAACAAAACAAAACAAAACAAAAGGATAGGAAATAAAAAGAAAACTGGAGAAACACAAGACTCTAAAGTAGCTGACTCTGGGCCTACTACAAAGAGAAACTTTCTATGCTGCCTTGAGAAGTGAAGTCTCCTTTCCCTCATGGCCCCTGCAGGCTGTGCAGACAGGCCTCCCTCTGCGTGTGCATGCGTACATACAGTCCTCCCAGCCACCCTGTGAAATGATAGTGGTACTATCAAAATTTCCATTTAGATAAGTAAGCAAGAATGTCAGAATTTAAGGTCAAGGACATGCATGTATTTATACGTATACATATACATATACATTGCATTTGTACCATTATAAGTATTTCTGTGATTAGTATCTTTGTGCCTTAACCTTTGTGTGCATTTCAGATTATTTTCTTAAAATACATTCTCAGTGGATTTTTAGGTGAAAAAGCAGGAACGTTCTCTGTCTCTTTCTACATACAGCCAGAGGACCATCCAGAAAAGTTGCCCTCATCCACACTGCCCCCACACCACGCCTCAGGGCTGTGATGAAATCTGTACAGCAGGCAGTGGGGACATCCACTCACAGAGGCTTAGAGTTTGATGTTCTGACTCTGGGGAGCTGCTTAAAAATGAGTCAGATAAGGCAGGCAGCAAAGTTTATGCTCTAGCTGGGCCATAGGAAAGTGATTCTGGTGTTCTCACACGGAATGATGGTGACCGTGTGTCAACCAGGGAAGCCAGCATCTTCTATCCAATCTTGAAGTCAAAAAAGCATGGCCGGCTGCGCTGAGAAGCAGAGTGGCCACAATGGGTAGATGGGATGGGGAGGCTCTCGCTCAACATCCTGAGAGTGGGTGTGATGTGGGGACAGGGGCTGAGGCAGAGGAGGAAGGACATGATGACTACTCAACCTTCTAATGGCCATCATTCCCCAATACAAAAAATAAAAAAATAAAAAATCCTGTTAAATCACAGTAAATCCTCTGAACATTTACTGTTAAGATATAATGAGTCACTGGTTACGTGGGAGTATGAGCTATAAGATGTTATATAAACGGAAACAATTATTTTGTTTTTGTAGTTGTTTTTTCTATTCCATGTTCCATATCATTTGAACAAAAACTTTTCTCTGCTATCGTTTCATTAATTCATTTATTTATCCAAAAATGGTTATTTATTATCAATCATGTCCTAGGTCTGGGATCCATAGATATAAAGACCCCTTGAATATTTGCAGTCTAGTGGAGAAGACAAAGGCCTAAAATGGTAAGGATAAGATTGCAATAGTGAGTATGGGTATAACGGGAGAAAGGTACAACCAGCCATAAGTGAAGGAGGGGTAGATCTTCACAAGGAAATCAGGGACAGCTTCACAGGAGAAGAGAAGCTTTGTGCCTACTCTTGGGAAGATCAGAGTTTGCCAGTTGGACCAGGGTGGTGCGACCAGGGAACAGGAAGAGTGTGGAAAGGTGGAGATGACACTTGCCAGGAAAACTCTGAGAATGCCAGCAGTTTAATGTGAACATTGCTGGAGCATGGGCTGAGACAGAGTGTGGTGAGGTTTGGAGCTGGACAGGTGTGTAGGGTCTCCAGGACCTTGCTGCAGAGTTTAGACTTCACTACAACCGTGAATTTGTTGAGGTCCTCTTTCAGTTTTTTCAATGGTTCCTGAGCAAGCTCGTTGTGTACTATCTCTTCGAAGACATTCTGGGGTACACCACTGTTTAAGAATCGTATTGGTCATGGTGAACCATCGAGGAGGGTTAACAATGGAATAAAAAAGTCCTATTTTGGAAAAACAGCTCTGGTGTCCACCAGGGTTTAACTGGGAAACAGAGGACTCCAGAGCCCCAGCGTCAGCTAGCTGGCTGCGGCCATGGCCGAGTCACAATGCTGGAGGGCCTCTGCTAGCAGTGGGCAGATGGGGAGAGATTTAGAAAGCAGAAGGGAGGGGGCCATCAGAGAACCAAGTGTGTGCACTGCTCTTCAGCAGGGAGCTCGGGGCGGGGAGAAAGATTTGGCAAATCCAGAGCGCTGTGACACGTCAAGGGAGGGTGATGTTGGTTAAAGATGAAGTGTGGAAGAAGAGGAAAACATGCAAATCCTGAGGACACCAAGATCTCAAAGAAGAACAAAGGAAAAGGAGCGCTTGTTGAAATGTGAGGACTGAGTGGAGGTGGAGGAAGATCTCTGGACAACTGGCACCAGAACCGCAAGACGGGGTGAGAGAAAACCAAGTAGGAGCTGGGGACGTCCCCACTGGGGACGCTAAGATGGGCCCCTGCCACACACACAGTCGTGTGCAGGGAGGTAAAAGCAATGTACCCTGAGGCTGGACGTGGGAAACCTCTCTCGGGGCTTGGAGTGTTGTACTAACAAAACAAGGATCACTGACGCTGTCTCCGATGAGTCCAGTAACAAGCTGGTCCGCACCAAGCCCCGGTGAAGAGCTGCTTGGTGCTCATCGGCAGGACGCTGCACCCACCGCCGCGTGAGTCCCACCGTGCGCTGCCCCTGGGCTGCAACGGGCCAAGCTGGCTCCTGAGGAGGAAGAGATTTGAAACAAAAAAAGGATCCAAAAAATTCAGAAGAATGATGATGAAAGGAAAAAGAAAGCCCAAATCCCCAGTCTTCTGAACAAGTTCCTGCAGGACGAGCTTCCTACGTGCGTCGCGTTGGGCCCAGCCAGTGCGGCGGAGCAGAGGGCTGCGAGCTGGAGTTCTAGCTGAGGAAAACCAAGGCCCAGTGATGCAAATAAATCCCCCTCCCCCGTCTCAGCTCTTGTGAGAAAGGTGTTTATTGTTCTATTCAGAAAAAGAAAAAGAGTCGCAAATAATGGGAGTGAAGTATGTCACAAAGAAGGGTGACTGTGCAATGCCACTGTGACCGGCCTGATGGAGCAAGCTGCTCTTCCTCACAACTTCTCCCTCTCCAGGTCCCTGGCCTGAGAGTCATGGTTCCTGCTGTGGGTTTCTTCCTCTGGATATGCTGCCTCCTGGCCTGTACCCCTCAGTCTCTATCAGTGGGATTGGCAACGTCTGCTCCTCTCAGCTCTTATTTTGGGTGGGCATCTCCATCCCATGTCCTGGACACAGCCAGAATCCCACCCTCCCACTGTGCAGTCCATACCTAAGGGGCATGAGGCCCATTCTTCTGAAAACCCATGTTATTTGTTCACCAGGCCTTGTCTCAGCCATCTACTGTCTGTGCAGACACACAGACAAAATGCACTGGAAGGAGGGAAATGCAGCCTCTACTGCTTGGAGGTGACTCCACTTCCACCTGATGGACTGCTCAGGGACAGCCTGGCAGGGACTAGTGGCACAAGCCCTGCTGTCTTCCCTGGAAGACAGAGGCCAGATCTCAGAAACTCCCAGGTTTAATGATGGAGCCGCAAGTGGACATCAACGTCACGTGACAAGTTTTCAAGGAAGTCTGCCTGCATTACTTCTCATACTCTTGTCTCCCAGCAATAGATTGATGGTAGTCAAACTTTCTACATATCTGGACTACCCCTTTTTGAGTGTGACGAGGGTCTCCTGTCGGGGACACACAGAGGAGTTTTCTCACTTCTTCAGGGAACAGGGTCCACATCTGGAATGGAACAAACAGGCTTTGCAAGCCTGGTTCTGGGAAGGGCTAAGGTGTCTGTGTGTTCAAACCTTCCACCCTCTCAGGACCACTTCCTTTGTGCATCTGGGCTGCATCTCTGATCGAACAATGTTCTCTCTGAAGTTGGGATGGAGTAGGGATCCCATGCTCCTTGCTGCCAGCACATGATCCAGCTGTCCCCTGCAGAGCAGAACAGGGCCAGTGCCAAGCAGGACAGCTAGGTCCATATTATAGTGAGATTAGCAGAGTGGCAGGAAGTGCTTTAGTCTCACATCTACCCTAGCTAAGCTCTGGAATGGTCTCCAATCATTTTTGATGCAAAGGACAGAGATGTTTCTCAGGACGGCCTGCTATCTTCCCCAGCTAGCACCAAATGTCTGTCACTCATGATTGTTATATCCAGGTGGCACACGGAGAGAAAAACACAGTTGTGAAGTTTAAAGTAAGGCTTTGTTGTTAGTAATGATTTCAGGACACTCAGTAGGAAGAGGAAAATAGAACTTGTAATCCTAGATTTCAAACTTCCAAATAGCTGGCAGAATCTATAGAGGGGCTGAGATTTTATTCTGATTGAAACCTAATACATTAGGCTGTTATTGCTTCATGAATGCTGGCAAAAGACAGGATACCCCTGTGTCAGAGACAAGGGACTTGCTTACTCAGGGTGAAGCAAGCTACATGAGCTTCATGCTGGTTTGCATTGGTTCCCTATTGCCTGC